AACCACTGTCCAGAGACAAAAAACAGATCCAGCGTGTTTCCCCCCGTGTGGGTAGGGCCATGAATTAACTGGGTCAGGTCCATGGCTGTCATGGAAGCCATGAACTCCCGAGCCACCTCAGATGCCTCACCAACGGACGGCAAGTTGAAATCCCCCATGACCATAAGCCTAGGGGTCTCAACCGCCACCGTGGCGATGACACTGAGTAGCTCGGGCAGGGCTGCTGCCACATGGCAGGGAGCCAGGTATGTGATCAGCAAACCCATCTGAACCCCGTGGCCCCATTTCACAAGGAGGGATTCACAGCCAGCCATCTGAGGAACAGTGGCCTCCCTCGGTCTCAGACCTTCGTTAATAATAACCGCTACCCACCCCCGCCCCTACCCTGCAACCTCGGCTGATGGAATGCGCGGAAACCTGGTGGGCACATTTCAACAAGAGGGACCCCCCCCTCTTGGCCCAACCAGGTTTCCGTAATACCTGCCAGGTCCGCTCCCCCCTCTTGAACAAGATCACAAATGAGGGGGGCTTTATTTACTACAGACCTGGCATTGCATAACATCAGACGGAGGCCAGGGCCCTGAGGATCTGCGCCACCTGGAAAACGAGCGGAACTTTGGGGGCCGGAGCGCGCCACCGCTCGAAGACAGCGGGCGCGCGCTCCCCTAACAAGATATGGCCCCCTGCTCCCGCCATATCTACCCCTCCCACCCACAGTACTGATGGTAAAAACCTTATCTGGATGAACTTTATCCCCCCTCTTGACCCCGGGCCCCCCACCCCCCCGCCGTGCTCCACAGCCTTACCTGTCCCTCCCCTTAGTGGGTTATCCCCCATACCCACGGCCTTACTTCTGATCCAACACTCCCCCCCCCGGAACCGCTTAAGACATTTGCTAAAACTTTATATAAAAAACCCCTCAACCCCCTCTTCGCGACATGCCAGTTTAGTGCTCCAAGAGGTTTGTGATTGTGAGTTTATCTGCTGTAGTAAGCATAACTTGGGGTGCAGCAGATGTCCTTCGATCTACACCCACAATACAGCTCAGGTGCTGGGACTGTGTTTGTTCTAGTACTGTGGTTGAGTAGAAATCCCAAACTTCTGCTCCATACAAGAGCATAGGGGGAACCTTTATATACTTCAATTAATGGGCCAGGGATTGAAGGTTAGGGATAACTTTTTGCTATTGGACATCAATTTTTCTATGTTATCATTAATACAGTCAAGTTGATAAATCCCCTTACGCAAAATTTAATCTAGGATGTAGATAAAATAACAATGGTTTTAAATCAACTTAAAGACGATAATCAGAAGCAAGCAACAATTGTTGAATTGGATGAATTGGATGGATGGACAGGAACTGAATTTGCTTCAGGCATCCCTGAAGGAGGAGTCTGGTTTGAAGGCAGGCTGCTTGGAGATGGCTGGAGAGGCCATGGACCCTGAAGACTCAAAGTGGGCAGAACGGATGACTGAAGAAATGGATTCTTTCAAGGAGATTGAGGGAGATTGGGGAATGGACTTGTCATATTTAACTGGAAAACAAATCTTAAGAGTCATTGTGTTTCAATTTACAGGAGGTCCTGTGACTTTGGGGGATGAAAAGCAGTTGCTGGGAAAGATCCTAATTAAAGTTTTAAGGAAATGAATTATTATTAAGAATCAAACAAAGATATTGAATTATGAACAGATTCACGATGGATCAGAGATAATGATTGTGGTGGTCTGAGATATATAATAAGCCCCTGCAAATTGTCTGAGAATTAAATATAATAGCAGATAACAGACAGTTTTGAAGTTTTGAAATTATATTTTTTTTATTGCCTGTTAAGTACATTTTTTTATATACAGCAGACAGATGACAAGTCAAGTGGTTGCAAATATATCGGTTGAAGATTATAATTGTGGGTCTATTTTGCAAGGGGGAGAAATGTACATCTGTCAGTATTCAACTGGAGAACAATATATGCATATTTGGTTTTATCTGTTTTTAATGCAAATTTTTTTAAAAAATGTTTCATCTAATTTTGTTTTGTCTTTGTAATAGTTTTATTTTTTGAAGTTTACCTTTTTGAATAAAATAAAATTTAATGAGAGGAATATCAAGTTTCCAGAAACAATATTTATCATCAGCACACACAGAAGGGTGCATATCTAAAAAGCAGTAGAAAAATATCTGATTTATAGCAACTAGCACTTGACTAACAATAGAGTCTCATATAAGAACACGAATGGTGGACTGGAAGAAAGATGAGGGACACCAAATTTGATATGCATGCTTCTGGAAATGATCTCAAAATCGTAGTTAACTGGAAACAGAATCTGAGTCAGCAGGGAGATGTTCATGGAAAGAAGGCAAATGCAGCCATAAGAATCTCAGGAAGTGAATGTTCTGGTTTGGGGAGACCCCAACTCAAGGACCAGGTCCCCTTGCAGGCAACACACTTGGAGGAGAATTTGCACAAAATCTACGTGAACTTCAGGGAAGGACAATGAAGCCAAGGAAGAGATCAAAGGAGCTGCTGTTAGCCTTGAGGAAAGAGAACAAGGAGAAGAGCTGAAGATCAGGAGGAGTCTGGGAGCCCCTTTTCCAACTGACACAATCTCTCGGTTGGAGAAGGGACGATGCAGCCCTCTTCCAATCACTCTCACCAGTGGTGGGATTCTGCTGGTTCTAGGCAGTTCGGCCGACCCATTTGTTAAATTGCTGACTCACCCCGCCCCTTGCCCTGCTCCTCCGCACCACTATTTATTGCCAATAAATAGTGGTGGGCGAGGGGCGGGCGAGCCAGCAATTTAACAAACGGTTCAGTGTTTTTTTGTAATTTTATTGGCCCGCGGAGCTTCAGCATAGGCTAATTAGCCCATTGATTAGATTGGCCTCCCGACTCTCAGCTGATTTGTTCTCAGCTGTTTTGCTCAGGGCTCTGCTGCTTGCTTGCAAAGAGTGCTGGAGCAGATTCCCCCCCAGCTATGCTGAAAAATGAAACTGAAAGTAAAGCAGGCTGTTGGCTTTGCTGCAACTTTGGAAAATTAGGCAGACAGATTTCTTTTCTTTTTCCTCACCAAAAAAGGTAGGTGCAAACAATGGGAAATTTAGGGCAAAAGAGGAGAGTTCAAGATTTTAAAACACAAAAGAAAAAAAGCTCTATTTAACTAGGGAATTGTAATAATTGAGATACTATTAATTGTATATTGTGTTGAAAGCAGAAATGGTTAAGTTGTGGTTTGGAGGAATATATGGGGGAAATTATTTGGTTTATTATTATTGGTAAATATAATTAATTGATTTGTAAGAAATTGGATTGCATGGAAATAATTGGAATATTCATGTTCATATTGATTAATATACAAAAAAGATAGTTATATAACTAATTGGTTTATATTAAAATGTTGAATTTATATTAAACAACTGTAATATTACATAATTAACCAATGTGAGGATGGATATAAAAATAGATGACAATGGGAAGGGGTATAATATAGAATAGAAGGGAAAATTGAATTTGATTAAGATTAGAGATGAGGATGAAGGGTAATATTGGTTTTTTAAAAAAAGAGATAAGGAATAAATATGGCAAAAAGGAAATATAGAAATTGTAAATTTAATTGAAATGACTAAACACTGTTTCAATTTGTGAACCGGCCAAATACTCTGTTCAAAGAAAATAAATTGTATATTTATATGTGTGTTTCTAATTATTGCTATTTATTCATATTTGTTCTCTTTTATTCTTTAAAGTTTAACAATTCATTCTTTATCTTAATATCTTTATATTTGTTTGGGGTTGCCTTTCTTCCATTTCATCTTTTTTACTATACAGCAATCTTTCTCCTCAAACCTACCACCTCTCTCTTTTCTTTCCTTCTTACTTTCTTTCCCCCCCCCGCTTCTTCTCCTCCCTCCTTCCTCTTCCTTTCTCCTTCTCCTCCTCAGTTCCTCCCTCTTTTACCCTCCCTCCTACTCTAATTTCCCTCCCTTCCTTCCTCCCTTCTCTTCCTTCCCTCTCTCTCCTTCTTTCTTCCATCTGTCTTCTCCTTCCTTCATCCCTCTCTATTGCTGTATTCTTTTGTGCATATGGACTACTCAGAGGGCTGAAAAAGTTATTTTTGACTGGTCCTCGCACTTTTGATCAGTCCTCGAACTTATGACTATCCTCACATTTTACATTTTGCGCCCTATCTTGTCACCATGGTGAAGAGAAGTAGTGGTGAAATGACTGATACGGTTGTTAAGAATGCCACAACAGAGCAGCCATCAGTCAGAGAAGCTTTAACTGGGATTCCTGCAGAGAGGAGGGGTTGGGCTAGATGGTCTCAGGGTCTCCTCCAAATTTATAAAGGTTGTCATGCCACAACATGTATCTATTGTGCAGTTGTTGCTCTAGCCCCACCTAGTGGCCGGGGGCAGATAAGCCTAACTGTATGGTCTGAAGCCAGACTCCCTTTTCTCTCAGCCTTTGGAGGAGACGGAAGCAGCCGGTTTGACCGAGACACATGGTCATCCGGAGGCCTCCGTCCCTCACACGGAGCATCGCTGGAGAGGTTCCAGCTGCTTCTTTGTTGGCTGTTAGTTAATGCTGCCTGTCTCCTATTTATATTTGACTCTCACTCTTTGCATCTCCTCAGTTTCTCCGTGCCCTTTTCTCCCAATGAAACCCCCAGATCCACCCCAGGCTCCCTTTCACTGGAGGAGAAGAGGGGGGTTTAGCTGCCTGTTGAGCTGCACACAGACCCACCTGCAGTGGGGACGGAACAAAGGGGAAATTCCACCATCCTAATCACAAACCCACAAATACAGGAATTTATTTAAGGAAGAATACAGCATTTTCAAACGAGCAGAGTTTAATATCGAAATGCCATGGTATCTACTCTTTGGAACTATTATTCCCTGAGTAATTGAATTGGCCAGATCTGTTGAGTTGGTTCCCCTCCTTCTCCTCTGGATTCCTCCTCCAAAGGATCTCAGATTGATGGATCCATATCGGGACCCCCCATACCTGCCACGGCTGCAGCCTTGGAGACCCCAAATTCTTTTCTCCCTCCTTCCTTCTCCTCCTCCTCAATCTGGAGGAATAAGCGGCATTCAAGGCCTGGGCCAGAGTCTTCATCATACTGTAATGATGGTAGTAATTTGCGATCCGTCTTCTGTTCCTTTTCTCCTGGGTCTCCAGTGGGGCTTTCTGGGTGCATCTTCTGCGGCCTTTGACAGAAAAGACGTTCTTTGAAAGAGAACAGTGGAAATAATGATCTTGAAACTGATCTTCCACAAAGAAATGGGGTTCAAAGGCAGAATCCTTTGGCCTTATTTTTGCCAGAAAACCAAAGATCCAAATACTATGGATGTATTTGAGAAGTCTACGATTGTTCATTTTATACCCTGCAAAATTTGTGAGGATCCAGACTTTCCCTTCAATGGGTCCTGGCAGACGCATAAATGTTAAATGGAAAGGAAGAATTCTCTCCCAAATGGACTCATATTCCATGAAATGAACAAAGACGTTGACTTGTCTCCACTTAGAGAGGGAATCCCTGAGGGCTGTTGTGTATCCAGTCGTTGAGAATCGTTGTGATATAACCACACAAATTCCACTCCTGACAAGCACAGGAGGAAAAATCCTCATGAAATTCTCTCCATTTTCTGTGTCTGAAGCAAAGAGGCCAATCAGGGTCCATCTGAAATGGAGGAGCAGGTGGACAATTGTTGGGTACTGGAATCCTTCTTTGGGGAACATTTTGTGGAAAAAGGGGAATTGGCTTTTATCACTCAGAGCCTCTGAAACAATTGTATGACTGATCTGAAAAAGCAATGAAGAATGCTGTTATATTTGGGATCAGATCAAATCCAAAATATTAGATTTTAATAAATCCAACTGGTTCTCATGAATGTGTTAGAATAGTTTGTTAATCAGACATTGTTTAAAATATTAAAGACCAAGATTGTATCATAATAATGGAAAATAATAAGCAAATTAAAAAAAAATAAAAATGTAAATCATATTACTGTATCACCCCTACAATTTATCACAATTAGATTAACACCTGCAAATGCCAACTGGAGTATTCTATTCCAATAAAGGGCCTATTATAATTTTCGAGGATTGCTGCATCTTTTTTTTGCTTCTCTATCCCAGATTCTTTCTGGAGGAAATTTTTTAACTTCTTTCTCCAGTTATACAAGAAACAGGAAGACCTCAAAGCCTAATAAGATTTGTCAGTTGCATAATCCAAGTTTGGTCTTTAATTGAAGTTTTGTCTGTTCCAACAGCCACAATTTTCAGAGTCTGTCAGTTTCCATAGATTAAATTTTATGCCAATGCCCATATTTTCTGAATTTAGACAAAGCAGAAATTGTGGAAATTCCCAAATCAGCTCCGAGTCCTTTTACCCACCCCAAGATCTTCCTCAGAGGCTGAGATTGGATTGGTTCTGCTGGTGGTTTCTCTCTGAAGCCCCAAACATCAGATTGATGGAAGAACATGGGGGAAAACTGGGCCTCCTATACTTTAATAATTGGGGGTGAGGAAGCTGGAGAGCTATGAGGTTTTCATTTTAGCACCCCTTTCACTCCTGCCCTTTCTCTAACTGAGCTCCTTGGATGATGAGGGAGCCAAGATTCAGGCTTAGAGAAAACAACCCCAGGTAAGGAAAGGTGTTACTTGCTCTAATGGCTGACCATCTATGGCTATGATGTCATTTCACAAAGACCATAACTTTTGAACTTGATTTATAAATTATCAGATAATTATTAAGACAAAACAATCCAAGTCTATACAATCCAAAGTGTAAGTATGATAATATCACATTATCTGTGTAAATCAGTGTATTCCAATAGGAATTTAGCAGGCTAAACATGTGTACCTATAACAGAACTTATAACATAATAAAAGGGTTGGAAGGGACCTTGGAGGTCTTCTAGTCCAACCCCCTGTTCAAGCAGTAAACCAAGCATAATAGCAGTAACTGTGAGAGGATCCTAGAATCTTAGTGGACAACCAATTAAATATGAGTCAAGAGTGTGCAGTGGCAGCCAAAAAAGCTTATGCAATCCTAAATAGGACCCTTGGTGGCGCAGCGGACTAAAGTGCTGTTAAGTAGCTCTTAGCTGCCAGCTGCCTGCAATTACTGCAAGTTCAAATCTCACCAGGTTCAAGGTTGACTCAGCCTTCCATCCTTTCAAGGTAGGTAAAATGAGGACCCAGATTGTGGGGGCAATAAGATGACTTTGTATAAAAAGAACACCGTTTGGGGGGGGGCTAGATTTTCTAACGGTGAGCTTATGGAACTTACTATGGGTCTAAGAGGTATTCCATCTTTGTGTATTTTTGGGAGGCCATATATTTTTGGACATTTTGATGATTTTTCTCTGGGGATAATTGTTTGTTGGATTTCTTTACTTATAGTACTTGATTTTATCTTTATCCTCGTGGTTTTTTCTAGATATGTTGTTGTGTCTGTGTTTATGGGTTTATATGTGGCATCTTGAAGTAAATCAGACAGTTTCTTTTCATAGTCTACTGTGTTCATTACTACTGTTGCATTTTTTTTTTTTTTTAATTTGATTTATATGCCGCCCTTCTCCGGAGACTCAGGGCGGCTTACAGTGCGTTAAGCAATAGCCTTCATACTTTTGTATATTTATACAAAGTCAGCTTATTGCCCCCACAAACTGGGTCCTCATTTAACCTACCTTAGAAAGGATGGAAGGCTGAGTCAACCTTGAGCCTTGGAGAGATTCGAACCAGCAGTAAATTGCAGGCAGCTGTGTTAATAACAGGGTGCTTTAAACCACTGTAGTACCAAGGCTCTTGGTAAAGGCGCATTGCCTTTATCTGCTGGTAATATCATTATGCTATTATCGTTTTTTAAAACTTGTAGTGCTTTTTGTTCTTCTTTTGATAAGTTGCTTTTAGGTGGTTTACTAGTGTGTAAAAGCAACTTATCAAAAGAAGAACAAAAAGCACTACAAGTTTTAAAAAATTCACCGTTACAAAATCTAGCCAAATACCTAGCAAAACATCTACAACCTTATGCAGAATCTGCTGCTTCATATGTACATACAAATAATGAAAAAGCAACACATAAAAGAAAATGACTTACTTGTAAGCTTTCATGTTGTATCACTATTCACGCAAATACCTGTCAAAGAAGCCCTGTCATCAATTAAAAACAAATATCAACTACCGAAACATATCACAGATTTAACAGAACATTGTTTATCCAACACATATTTCATACACAGAGGACAGAGATATAAACAAATAGAAGGTGCACCAATGGGATCACCATTATCACCAGTCATCGCTAATCTTTTCATGGAAGAATTCAAAACCAATGCCTTAGAAAAAACTGTTAACAAGCCAAAATTGTGGCTTAGATATGTTGATGACACTTTTGTGATCTGGCCGCATGGAAGAGATAAACTGGAAAACTTCTTAGTATATTTGAACAGCCTCCATCCCAAAATAAAGTTCACCATGGAGATAGAATCAGAAAATCAGTTGTCTTTCCTTGATGTATTAATTTATAAAAAATCTGATGGCACCTTAGGACATACCATCTATCAAAAGAAGACACATACAGGAACTTCCGGTTTGCGAGCTTCGGCGACGGCGGTGACTTTTTAAAGACCGCCAGCCCCGCCGCCTGTAGAGCCGCCCCGCGAACGAGGTGCGGCTCGAAAACTCCGAAATCTTGAAGATTGCAGGAGCAGAGACAGCAGGGTACAGGTTGAGCCCCTGTAACCCCCCCAGGGAATTGCTTCTGGGGGTGAAAACAGGTGTGGCTCCCTTCCAACCTGCGGAGACTCCGGGCGGCGTGGGACGATTCTGCCTTCAGCAGAACAAGCCGGCAGCAGCAAACTTTTAAAGTGAGAGGAATTAATTTTAACAAACAGCGGAAATATCAACTTGAATCCAGAAACTTGAAAACTGCAAGTATTGGTGCTTTGTTGACTTTTTAAATCAAAAGAGAAAGTGAGCGAGTGAAAGTGATTTGAAAAAATATGGCGTCCAGCGTTTGAGTTAACGAGCTAGTGAAAGTGGATTTGTGAAGCCTCCCTGCTTTGCTACAAAGTTGTAAAATTGCTACAAAGTTGCTCTATCTAAAGAAAAAATTTCTTTTGCTAAAATTTGACTTTGCTTTACTTTAGTTCTACCTGATTAAATCTGGGGGACTTTTTTAGAAGTTTCTGTGGAAGAGGGAAAGGAAAAAGAACCTCCCTCTTCAAAAAAACTAGTTTACGTGGCACGATGGCTTCAAAGAAGCAGGAAGGGAAGGCATCAGGGGGGGGATCCCCCACACATAAACATCAAACGCAACTTCCCCCTGCTCAACAGTTACAAACTCAGAAAAAAGAATTTGATGTGGCAGATTTAAAAGAATTTATTTCTAAAACTTTGGATGATAAATTTCAAGAATCACAACAGGAGATAGATGATAAACTTCAAAAATCACATCAGGAATTTTTGCAGGAAATTAATGAAGTTAAAGATATGGTGAAACAGAATCAAATTATGGTGACCAAAAAAATATCTGAAGTGGCGTCTGGCCTGGCAGATTTTATTGGGAAAGTTGATTTTAAAGTTGAAGAATTTAAATCAGAAGTTAATGTTAGGATGAAAGACAATGACTATAAAATTGATGAAGTTGACAATAAAATGCAGAGAATTGAAGATGAGATTGTTATGATACAATTCCGGGCGATGGAATTTGCCATACGGCTTCGGGGAATTCGAGAGGAGGAAAGACAGGATCTGAGACAAGTTTGCTCTGAAGCCCTGGCTAAGATTTTACAAGTTAATCCTGATTTGGTATTTCATAAAATAGATAAAATTTACAGAGTGAACTCTTGGGTGGCCAGGCAAAGACAACTACCCAGAGATGTGGTCATATACTTCACTGAGAGAGAAATTAGAAATGATATCCTGCAAAAATCTTTTCACACTTCTGTACAAGTGGGGGGCTCACGGCTTGTAATTTTTAAAGAACTACCTCCTAAAATGCTGAAAGCTAGAAAAGAATTTGGTTTTCTTGTTAAGGAATTGAAAAATTTACAGATACCCTTCCGGTGGGATGCACCAGCTGGGGTAATTTTTAGATATAAGGGAGAAGGATATCGGTTGAATACCGTGGAGAAGGCACAACACTTTTACAGTACTATTCTTAAGGAAAGAACACCATCTCCACGTACATCTACAGTTTTGGAGATTAAGGAGAGTGAAGAGAGGCAATTGAAAGAACAGTCTAAGCAGGAATTAGAAAACGTGCAAGGTGCAGAAGGAGGTATTCTGAGTGAGCCCTTGCTGGATTCTTCTCCAATTTTGGATTTGATTCAGTTGACTGAAGTTAAAGATCAACGTATAACTAGAGCTCAATCCAAGCTACTTAAACAAAAGCAACAACAACAACAGGAAAGACAAGACAAGAAGGCAGTTAAGAGCACTGCACAAGAGATTGGAGCTATGGGAGGAGCGAGATCGAAGCTCTCGGATGAACTTCAAGCATATTGCTCTGCGCTCCAGAAAGAGGCTAATGACCTTTAAGTGTTTATCTTGGAATGTCAATGGGTTGAATTCAGCACAGAAAAGGAAGAAATTATTTACATATTTGAAACAATTTAATAATGATATAATATGTTTACAAGAAACGCATATCACAACTCAAGATCAAAAATATTTGATAAATTCAAAACTAGGAGCACATTATATATCTTCAACTTCGCAGAAAAAGAATGGCGTGGTTATTTATGTAAATAAAAAATTAACAGCAAAAGTTATAGAAGTAGATCAAGATGGTA